TTTACTAATTAAGCTAAACTATTGTTTTGGTTTAAAGATGACTTTAGGGGATAGCCTCAGTTTAAGGTCCAAGGTTCAAAGATGATCTCAGAACCATAGTTGAGGGGGGTGGTCACCCAGCTCCAATGGCTCCAGAAAATCTGGACTCCACAACAACTTGAAATTCCCTTGCACATTTCTCTCTGCTGCCTTCCTGACCCCTTAATCAGGACTCTTCTATAGAATCTTTGATAGAACACTCTGCAATGGTAGCTGGGCACCATCCAGTTCTTCCAGCCCATGGCAAAAGAGGCAGCCATTTAGGGAGGCAACAAGACATGCGCTTCAGTTCCTCTTCCAATTCCTAACCCCTCACGCCACTGCCCCAGGCTAACAGAGACCAATTGCTGTACCTTGGATGAACACTAACAAGCCTTTAAGAACCCAGGCACCACACAATGAACCAGAAGGCAGGACAAAAACACCAAAACCATTAGGCCAATTGACTGGGATGTCCCATGAAACCATGCCCCTAAATCTCCAAACCAGGAAAACAAATTAACACAAAGTGTCTGGCTGGATATAAGCAGTATCAATAGTTGCTTTTGTTGTTGTTGTTGTAAAAATACACATAACACGTCATTTACTAATTCAACCCCTTTCAGGTGTATAGCCTAATGATCTCAATTACGTCAACTATGTTGCACAACCTTTACCCTTAATGGATGCTAGATTTCCTATCACCATAAACAGAAACTCACCACTCCTCAAGCAGTGGCTCCCCCTCTCCCCTTCTCTTCCATCTCTGGTAACCACTATAAACTTTGGCCTCTATACATTTTCTTATTCTTGTCATTTCATATAAGTGAGATCATATAATATTTGTCCTTTTATAATTGGCTGATTTCAGTTAGCATAATGTCTTGAGGATCATCCATGTTATAGCATGTATCAGGACTTCATTTCTCTTTACAGCTGAGTAGTAGTCCATTGAATGTATGTACCACATTTTATTGATCTATTCATCCACTGATGTATATTTATGTCATTTCTACTTTTTGGCATATTGTGCAATGAACATTGGTGTGCATGTGTCTGTGTCCCAGCTTTTAAGTGTCTTGGGTATACACCTAGGAGTGGTATTGCTGGATCACATGGTAGTTCTATTTTTAGTTTTTGAGCACTGCTTAACATTTTTCCACAATGGCTGAACCATTTTACATTCTCATCAGGAATGGATAAGGGTTTCCATTTTCCCACATCCTCACCAACATTTGTTATTTTCTGGGGGTTTTGTTTTATTTTAGCCATCCTAGTGGGCATGAAGTGGTATCTCATTTTGATTTTGATTTGCATCTCTCTGATGACTAAAGACATTGAGCATATTTCATATCTATATTGTTTTTGGCTATTTGGACATCCTCTTTGGTGAAACGTCTATTCCAGGCCTTTGTCCATTGTTTGATTGGGTCATTTACACTTTTGTTAAGTTATAGTTCTCTATATATTTTGGATATTAGACCCTGGGGTTTAGCATATTTTAATATTTATTCTCCTTAAAAACTAAACTTTCCCAAAAGCTTTCTCTCAAATATCATCTATTCCCCCAACTTTCTCATTGTATTAGAATCAAATTGTTTCTAGATTAACTATAGTATTAAGTTAATTAAAAAGAATTCTGTGAAGCTCTGTTTTTTATCCACATTATCCAGTCCAAATTCTTAGCTTTGGTAAAAAACGTCTCTCCCCTCCCTACCCCAACCCCCAATGCGCTATGGGACATTGAGGGCATATTCAGAATTACCATCATACAACATTAGGATGCAGAATGACTTACCAAGGAGAATGACAACACACAGAAGAATAGCGATTAAGGCTCCTGTACTCAAACCCGCCGAGGACAGGAAGGCTTCTGCATGGCAGGTCCGCACACGCCCATCTCTCTCGCATGCACAAACCCTGATGGTGAGGGTGCTGCTGCTGCTGAGAGAGGGGATTCCACCATCAGAGATCATAATGGGGAGATAATACACATCCTGAATAGTTCGACTAAATCTCCTCCGCCTTGTCAGAATGCTGGCTGTGTTATCTATGACAGACATAAGCAAAACAAAACGTACTCAGTAAAGCCGCCATTAAAGATTCACATTTCCTTTAATGGATAAAATGGGTACGTGTGAGTTTGTTTTTCGTTTCTTTTTCTTTTTTTTTTTTCAGTTTATGAGATGGACATGAGTACATGAAGGGGCAATGATTAAAGAGTAACTAATATCGTCTCAAATTGAGAAACCGATTTGAAAAATTAATACAGCACCAACTAAGGGAGGAGGAAAGGTAGTGGAGGATGGAGAAGGAAGAAGCAATACCTATTTTGGACATAAACATATTAGTCAAAAGATTTAAAAGGATACAGATGGCTTTAAGCCAGTAGGTTCCAAACTTTGGGGTGCACCAGTGGGCCTGACCCCAAACCTGATAATTCTGAATGTAAAAGATAGAGCAGACATCTGCATTTTCAGCAAACTATCCAGGTGCTGTTAATGCACAATGAAAGTTTAAGAATCACTGGTATGGACAATATTTTTTTATAGAGACACCAGATCAACTAATCATCTTCTTTAGACTTAGCTGTGATTGGAAGCACTCTTCTTACAGTGAACACACCATGGAAAAGTCAATGTCGAATAAAACAGATAATTATTTGTATGTGCTTTTAAGAAGTAGTGTACTATATGACATATTTTGTTAAATCCCCACAACCTGATGGGGGGAGGTATTAAATTCCTTACTTTATAGGAAAAATAATTTATATTATAAATAATAATTTAAAAATAAATAACTCGAGTCTCAGAGGACAAGTTGTTCAAGTTCACAAGGCTACTGAAAGATCATGACTCAACCCCATCATATTCTAGAACCTTGATCAAAGCCACAATGCCTCACTTCTTCCAATAATTCACCTCCAGTCAGTAATGATGTCATCAGGTGCACACACGACATGATTATCTCAACACTGTTATTATAATTCCAGAATGACTTTTCTCAAGATCCCTATGGTGCCCACTTGGAAGTGCTGCTCTGATTCCCTTCAAAGGATGGCTTGTTGCCACAGTTGCAGATGCTACTGGACCAAGATCACATTCTTCTGCAGTGGTACATAATCAATGACACATTACTGCAAGAATATTAAAGTTGGGTCATTGCTGCCCAACCCAGACAATTCTGAAGGGCCAGTATAGATCCATAGCTTTCCCTGAGACTAGCTGAGGTGGCATTAAAAGTGGATGGTAGCCTGACTTCTGCCTCTGCCCAACCCTTTTTCCTCCCACTGTCATCCACCAGCGTTGATCCCAAGGGCACACTCCAGTACACATCCTGAATGCTAAACTCCATTTCAAAGGCTGCTTCCCAACCAGTGACAACACCTGTGAGTTAATTACTTTTCGCTAAAAAGTAAGTGAATTATTAGATAATTATATTAGGAATTCTTTCTCTCATATCAATTCTCTTTAGTTTGAAAATTAAAATTCTGCTTCTTATATGTATATTTATGATAGCCATAACCCAATATCCTACAACTGTATTGACAATACATTGAAAAATTAATCCAATAGAAAGATAATTATTTTCTATAAGTATTCAATGTAATAAGGAGCCCTGATGGCTCAGTGGTTAAGTGCTCAGTGTTAACAGAAAGGTTGGTGATTCAAACCTACCAGCTGCTCCATGGCAGAAAGACATGGCAGTCTGCTTCTGTAAAGGTTTATAGCCTTCCAAGGTCAAGAAGGGGAGAGTGTTGACAAGTCGTGGGGCTGGCATCCAATGTCACAAAACAATATGTGTATTAATTGTTTAATGAGAAACTAATTTGCTCTCTAAACTTTCATCTAATCACATCTTTAAAAAAAAATTGTCAAAAAAAGATTTACAGTCTTGGAAACCCTACGTGGCAGTTCTACTCTGTCCTATAGGTTCACTATGAGTTGGCATAGACTCATAGGGAATGGGTTTTGGTTATTCAATGTAATACAGATAATAAGGCACAAAAATAGATAGAGTTAGACAGAGAGATAGAGAGATAGATAGGCAGGGTTTAATCCAAGAAGATGTTGAAAAAGACCATCTTGCATGTGAAAGAGGAATTAATATATATTAATAATTTATAAACAGCGATTAAGGCTCCTATACTCAAATCCTACAAGGACAGGAAGGCTTCCCTATGGCAAGTCCACAGGCGTCCAACTCTCTCGCATGCACAAACCTAGATGATGAGGGTGCTGCTATAATAGACATAAGTATAAAATAGACATAGATATAGGTATACGTATAGCTATAGCTATATATAAACTGTCTATCCTGAAATAGGTTTCAGAATAGAGAAACAAAAAGACAAAAAATTAATTCATGTTCATAGCACAGCAGTTATGA